AGAAGAAAAGCGGATAAAGATAAATAAATCGAAAGAAAAACAAAAGATAGAAGACGGACGAAATGAGAAAAGAAAAAAGATAGAGAAGGAAGAAAAAGAGAAGAGAAGAAAAAAAAGAAAATAGAAAAAGAAGATAAAGGATAAGACGATAGAGAACGGAAATAAGGAGACAAAGAATAAAGTAAAGCAAAAAGAAAGAAAGAAAGAAAGAAAGAAAGAAAGAAAGAAAGAAAAAACAAAGCGATAAAGATATATAAGAAAAAGGAACAAACCAGAAAAAAACAACCCAAGGGAATTAAAGAAAAAAATATTAAAGAGAATTCCAAAGAGAATTTTTTAAAAAAATCGAAGACAAGAACGGAATTTGGCAAAGAGTTCAATAATGAAAAAAACGACAAGAAAATGAAAAAATAATAATTTGACTTTAATTGTAATCTAGCCGATTAACAAACACCTGCTGCAGTTGTAAAAAAAGTTTTATACAAGAATTGAGAAAGCTCCACAACAAAAGAAACATATTTGAAGACTTCCTCTGAAGAAGCAAAGGTAACCTGATCATCGTTAATATAACATCTTATTACAAGCAAACATCCCCAATGATTCCACTCAAATTGAAATCACAATAGAATCTTTCTTCACTTGATTTTAGTTTTCAATCCAAACAGAATGAATTTCGTTCCAAACTGTAAGGAATTGAGCAGAATGTTAATTTTTTTTTTATCTCAGTTATTTATGCGTCGTTCTAAATCAAACATGGAAAACCTTTTTTCGAGTAATGGGCCGCATAATCTATGGCTCATCACAAGACGGGCCACATTAATAAAAAGATTCAAGGTAATTCTTCGCAATAGGTACGCCAGCCATTTTCACTACAGAAGACCATAAGCGATGCATATAGCTTATAAATAGTAGAAAAGTTTTATTTTTTAGAACTGACTTTTCTATAATTAATAAATTCAAGTTTTAGTATAATATTATCACTGATGTCAGTGTAATTAAAACATGTCGCTGCATGTGATTTATTTCTAATTTATTCATCTGAAAATAAAAATATTCCTCCCTTAAAGAAAAATTTTTTAGGAACGTTTCCTGTTTCAAAGGAAAAAATGTTTACGCGTATGATCTTCCTTAGTGAAAAATCGACAATGGTTTAAAATGTTAACAACGTTAGTTTCATTGAAAGTTTACAAAATTCAAGAAACATTGTACTTGTAGTATCATATGCAAATGAGAATGGCACCATAAATATCGAGCAGAGGGTGAACAAAGGGCAATCGTTTAGTGAACCCGTTTGCTAAACGTAACTTGGAGAATTGTGCTATGATTGATAATAGTCAGAGAGAAATAGACAACATAACAATACTTAATCATATGTTTATGTATGAGAGAGTATGTCTTTCAGCTAATCTCTCTTAATCCTTGTTCTACCAACCATTTAACCCGTTACGTAGATTATGTGCTGCTTTCATCTTTCAACTTTTTCCAGGGTTGAAAGCCTATAATAAGATATGTTCTTTTCCTATGTACCGTGTTCCTTTAAGGACGATGACGATTATGTCTCTCCCCAATTTCATCACCTTTGTAGCTATCAATAACTTTTATCTATTATTTATCTCCTAAACCAACCATGGGCAAACTTTTTTTCCGAGTAGCGGTCTGCATGATCTATGGTTCACCACAAGGCAGGCTGTACTACTACAGTCGTTATCTTCTGTCTCTTTGAATCATATTATTTTTTATTGTTCTTTCGCCTCAGCAGCGGGTTTTTTTTTTCAGATTTCTTCACATTAATTATGTCCTTTATAACTTTAAATGGCATTATAACAATTTTCGCTACATGGTTATTGTTTCTTATTAACCCTACATTCAAGCTTAGTACACATTTCATTAGATATTTAAGTAATACTTCGGGCTTCATGACATCGTTAACCATATTTATTACTAGCAGTAGAGCCCGGCGTTGCCCGGGGATGTAACAGTAAGAGATAGATCAAGTATCGACCATCATAAAGACTGAAAAATAAAATTGACAAGGATTATTATTTAAGGTTGACAGAAACGCATGTCTTAATTAGTTTTTTTTTTTACGATTTGGTCAAACCCAAACTCAAACAAAAACATTGTTTTCAATCGTTATGAGTCTACCGATTGAATAGACTTTTATTATAAACAATTGTCTTGTAAATGGAATTTTTAAAGCATTCTGAATGTAAAATAAAGAAAAAAGTGTGCAAGACAATAAGAAACACTACCTGCCAAAAAAAGTGTTGTTGAAATCGGTTGAAAAATGTAGCAAATCTGATCCCATATATAAACGAACACAGACACACACACACACAAACAACCTGAGTTTTATAATAAGTATAACTCGATATGAGTTGCCCCCCTTTCATTCAGCGATGCCTCTTAATCGTGTTTTCAAATTGATTTCGTGCAAAAAACAACATAAAAAACACATATCACCGCCTCTAGTAATTATGTCCACACAAACATATGCACAAAACCTGAGTATCTTCTACTGCATGACTCATAAAGGGGTTGATGTGTCGTTAAACAAACAAATCAACCAACCAGCAGCAGTAAACAAGACGCGATTTTTTTTTTTTTTTTTTTTGTTTTGTTTCTGTTTTTTTAGTCTGAATTTCTAGAAGTAGATGTTATCATTATCTACTTTATTTACATGCGGGCTATTGTGCGTGTTTGTTTTTTTGTTTGTTTTTTTTGGTGGTGGTGGGGTTGTTATTGTCACAACATTTCGACTATTGTATCAGCCGACCTTCATCAGGTGCTCGTTCATCCATCTAACTTACAGGGAATCTCGAATTAAACCCTTTATTTAATCTACGGTGTCTAGACTTATCTAATCTTGTTTCTATTCAGTAATACTCACTTATTTGCCCAGGGATTGAACTCAAAATTACTATGTCATAAAATTTACGAACCAACGCTCCAATCGATTATGCTATTATCCGGTATGGGTCAGTAGCATAGTGGATAATGATAACTCCTCATCCCAGAAATTCAGACAGAAATTAATGTAATAATTAAAAAAAAATACGATTGAATAATGACACAAGAACAGCTTCTAATAGTCATTTTTTTATGGCTTGAGTAAACTATATTGCTTAAAATCTGAACCCTTCGGTCAGAAGGACAAAACTAGAAGGAATTTAATAAAAACTATTTTTTATATCGGTATCACCCCATGCAAGGCAATAAAGCCACTAAGACACAAGGTGTTCCAGTGCGTGGAAGAATTAGGTACAGAAACATTAATAATGAGCAGGAAGAGGAAAGAGTTATCAGGAGGACTGTAGATAGCGATTAACATTGCATTTAAACTTTGTTCAGATTAAACAGAATTTACGGTTATATTTAGCTAACTAAATTGTAAATTGAAGAGATCTAGACGCCAGTCTAGTATTGCTCTTAAATGAAAAAATTCTAGGTACCATATCGAAAATTCTAGGCACGATATCGAAAAAAAATACAATAAAAGTATTTATAGAAAAAGCACAGGGAGGCACCTTTAGTCGGTGGGAAAGTGAGTGAATGGGCGATGCAAGATCTGGGCCAATAATATTGCTGATTCTTCTTTGGATTTTATTAAGGAGCTATGAAATAGCAGGAGGACTGAACCATATGTGCCAGCAACATTCTAAAGATGGACGAATTAAGATTTTCATTTTAGTTTAACCAGATTCTTTTTTCTTCCTGATTTTTTTTAATCGGTATCACCCCATGCAAGGCAATAAAGCCACTAAGGCACAAGGGTTACTGAGCAGGAAGAGAAAAGAGTAATCAGGAGGACAGTAGATAGTGATTGACATTGCATTTAAATTTTTGGAGATTAAAGTTGATTGGAAAGCATGGAATCAGAAGGAAGTTCTACAAGCAAAGCAGTAAAGCCATTAAGACACAAGGGGTTACAGGGTTCTTTTCTTTGTATCTTAATACTCTGCTTAGCTTTTTGAATGCAACTTTGGCCATTGCAATACATCTTCGCGTGTCAATATCGCACTTTCCGTCCTCTATTAGAACATTTCTCGGGTATTTAAATTATTGTACTTTTTTCACTTAAATATCTTCGATTTGTAATCTGCATTTTGGGCTCACCAGAAAACTAATCCTAAAGCGACTCATCGCTGAAAACGAAAAGACAGGGTTTTTCTTTGAAAGAGATAAAGACGCATAACTTGATGGCGAAGCTTTCCTTCGTCAAGGACACTGTGTGCTAATTCAACGCTGTGTTTGGTTTCCACGCACATAAAAAGACTTCTTTTTTTCTTCTATTTATTACATCAATTTCAATTAATTTCACATCTGCTTCCATTGTCTTTCTTTCGATCTGCAGAGCTGAAAGAAAACATCATCAATTTGTTTAGATCAAACTTTTTTCCCCTCACATTTTTTTTCCGTGTTTCTCTGATAACAAATAATTTTAATCTAAATTTTTATCAGGAGGTACAAAGTTTATTTCAGGTCCCCTTTCCTTTCTTCATGTGTGTTCCTGTTTTTATCCACTTGTCATATTCCATCAGCACAAATGCTAACCTTCGTTTATCTGTTGTAATAATTTTTAAAGGTATACTTCTATAGTGAGGATTTCTGAGCTGATTTTCAACAGGAGGTACAAAGATCATTTCAGGTCCCCTTTCATTTCTTCATTTGCCTCATGTTTTTATCCACTACTGTGCAATCTTCGCAAACACAAGCAAGACTGTGAACTGTTTAGTCTCTACCCTTCTTCAAATTTCAAACGCATCCATTCTCCTTTCGCGTATGACTATGAGCAGAATTCTAACCGCCATATTCCTTACCTTTCTCAGCTCCCGGGCGAAATCCTTACTTTTTTTCCCAATTTCTCCTTCAAATTCGAATTCACTTCGTCGGTAGTGCTATATGTCTGGATTTCAGTTTCTTGCCCACCGCCATAACGTGGCTTCCCTCTCTCTATTCTATAAATATTTTCATGACCATTGTTCTAATGAGTACTTCTCCTTGGAACCTCAACCTCATAAAGTTAAGCTTACTACTAGATGGGCGGCTAGGTCTCATCGTTTTACTCTTGAAACAGATCAATGTAGTCGTGAGTTTTATTCTAATAGTTTCTTTTCTCGTACTTCTCAACTGGGACAATCTCTGCCGATTTAATATTTTCATATCACATTCTTTTGTCCATTTTCATGACTAAAGTTTACTCATTCTCCCCGACTCCTTGTGATCCGTTGCATAAAAACAAGATAGACAGATAGATAGACAGATAGACAGACAGATAGATAAGATAGATAGATAGATAGATAGATAGATAGACTGACAAACGGGCAGATAGATACATAAAGATAGATAAAGAGAGAGATAAAATGATTGATAAATGAACAGATAGATAGATAGATAGATAGATAGATAGATAGATAGATACATAAAGATAGATAAAGAGAGATAAATGACATAAAGAACAGATAGATAGATAGATAGATGACAGACAGACAGATAGATAGATAGATAGATAGATAGATAGATGTGTATATACACACATAAACATAGACTGACAGACAGGTAGATAGATTTATAAATGAACAGATAGATAGATAGATAGATAGATAGATAGATAGATAGATAGATCGACTGGTACATGAACAGAATAATAGATAGATAGATAGATAGATAGATAGATAGATAGATAGAATTAAGCGACATAAATACTGGCAGGTAGATAGAGAGATTGATAAATGAACAGAGTAAGAGCTATGTAGCTAGCTAGCTAGATAGATAGATAGATAGATGTGGCGCGAAATTTAATTCATGGAATTACAGCAACTACAGTAATGTGACGAGCAAATATTTTACCGAAGCATGTATGGATGTGTTACAACTTTCCAGTCTCCCTTGCTGTTATACCCTGTCTGGTGCAGAATAAAGATGGACTGATAACTTCCCAAGGATATTCATGCGAAAGTGAACGCAACGTCTTCGGCTAGTATTTGAGAACATCCCGCGAATCACAATTTTCGTTATGCGCACATCCTATATGGCATAAAATAATAAATAGTTATTCTATTATTTTACTTGAAAATATAGGACCTTTATATTTGGAAAAGGGTTTTCTTTTTGCATAAAAACCAAATGAATCATTTATTGCCGAGCAGTAGAGGAAGTTATATGTGTTCATGTTACACTGCTGGCAAAAAACGCGTGGAAGTAATCTGAACTGGCAGATTGACATGATGTTTTTGTTTGTTTGTTTTTTGTTTGTTTGTTTTTTGTTTATTTTTTAATTTTTTTTTTGTTTTTTTTGTAAAAAATGTTAAAATTGCATTATGATTAAAATAAAGTATAGGTTCATAACCTGTCGCATTGATAAAACCTTCCTTGAGGACGTGGAAAGTAACAAACTTATTATTATTGTTATTATTGCGATTATTGCTATAAAAATATCTATCTTTTGAGTAGGAGTAGAAGTGTGTTCCATGTTTAGCAATGGGTTCTTCGATTCCCTCTATTTTTTTCATTCTCTTTCGCTCCCAGTAGCCTCTTGGTTATGTTGTATACCCACCCCCCTTCGTTCTGGGGAGTTCTTGGTCGACGTCGTCAATTCCATAATAAATTTGCCTTCTTCTTTCGCGTCCGGGGATCTCTAGTTGGTTTGAGTCCAGAGATAAAAGAACTTCGACGCAGGGATTTTTAACTTAACTATTAATTAATTATGTCGACATGTTCTACATTTTCTATCCAGTGGGATCATTCTCCTTCACTGGCGAGCTGTTTCCGACACGAAAGATATCACGTCTACATTCTTTGAAGTGTAAGAACCAAAAAAAAAAAAACCTTCTATGTCTCTATCATTCTCACGCTGGCTCAGCCAATCAAAATCGACTTCCTTGTCTTGTCTTTCATCTGACCTCCTTCTGTAGAAACACATTTCTGTTACTTCAAATCTCTTCATTTCTGAGGGGGTTGACGAGTATTCACTGCAATCTAGGAGGACCGATATTCCATAATATCTCCGTACTATTTTTCTTTGTTTTCTAAAGATTTTTTTTCTGTTTCTTAATACATTGCTTAGCTTTTGAAGGACATCTTCCGTTGTTCTTAGTCTACATATTTAGACGAAATATTTTTGTCAGTAACTTTACTAGGTGATTACCTCCCTTGCAAAAAAAATGAAGCTTCATTTTATTTGCACGTGAAAATCATCATAATTCTTTACGTACTGGGTTCAGTGAGGCCAAATATATATATTTTTTTGGAGACGCTGAAAATGCCTGCCAGGAAATTTAACATATAAGACCTATTTTTCTTCTTTTTTTTTTTCTTGATCTTCATTGGAATCTAATTTGGACACCTCGTACCAGAGGTGAATTTACTTTCAATACGCTCACCAATTTTTTTTTAAATGAAGAAATATATGAATGTATGCCTCTCTGGAGGGGAAAAAAAAGGAATACTGTTAGCTCTTTACTAACAGAATCGGAGACAGACATACACAACCTGGTTATATTTCACCGTTAGCAAAACTTTCTGGAAGTTATGTATTTTTGAAAAAGTCGAACGCCTCATAAAAAATTTAAAACGTTTTGGAGCTTTCCGAAGTTAATTCGTTAAACATACAATGATGTCATTTTATCAATCACAGAAAATTTGGTTGCTATAGTTCAAAATACTTCACCGATGGCAAATCTTCCTGTAAGTTAATTCTTTTTGATAGAATTAGATTGGTATTTCCTCTCTTGTAAAAAAAAACAAAAAACCTGTCAATGCCAGACATGTATATACAAAAAGACGGACTATAGTAATGGCAAAACAAGGAAACATTTGGCAACAATCGACCGAGCAGCAAGTACTACAGTCAGTTAAAATTCATAGAATCTTTATTTTAAAACAATTTTTCAGGTAAACAGGTTTCTCAAGTCCAATAACTGCTTTCGTTCTTTCCAGTATTGGTGGGGGTGGGTTCTGTTATGGTCCAAGGTCCTTGTACCACGGTGATGGTCCAAGGTAGAACCAATAAAGAAGAACTCGAACACGCATATGGAATAACCCAGATATATTACAAACAGGAATATAAACAGAGAAGTAGAAAGTGTTAGTACGAACAATCAGGTTTAGTAGGGAGAACAATGTAGTCTCGACCAGTATCACTATTCCAATGTCTTGGAGTAATTGTCTGAACGCGACTCTGGTTCGAACTGCCTCTGACTCGCTCTGACTGACAGACTTCTGACGGACTTCACTCCAGACTTCAGACTGAACGGTATTTAGTCACCCCCCACCCCATGAGGGCATCATGTGGCACAAGGACGGTTTAATGTAGGATCATAGAGCCCGTGGGATCGGCCAAAAAATATGCCATTTGAAACCGTATAAACGGGTTCAGGGTCGGTTTAACTCCCCGAAGGAGACTCCGCCCTTCGGCGTAGCCTCGTTCGGGTTCCTCTCCGCCCGAAGGCAGAGAGTTCAACCGATCAGCCGGTCAGCTAGTCGTCCAACTTCAGGCTGAACTCCCTGCTTCCTCTTGAGGCACAGTATTTATTACGTATGGAATAGTCCATTATGTTATTATGGGTAAGGTCCCATAACAGTTTCCTTCCTAACTTTTTGTTTGAAGTAGTGTGGAATATTGATTATGTCTTTGAGTTTTATGTGATATCCATTTTTCTCTGTCGCTGGAATTCCTCAAACGAATGTGGCTTCTTTTACTTGATTTTCTTTTGTTCGATCTGCAGAGTCGAAGGAAAACATCATCAATTTCTTTAGATCAACCTTCTTTTTTTTCCCTAATATTTTTTCTTGTTTCTCTGGTAAAAGATAATTTTAATCTTATGTTCTTTATTGCTATTCGAAGGATTGTGGCCATCACAAAGACACACGGTCTTCACTAGCTCAACACCGTTTTTAACCATTGATCTTAGAAAGCGGTTGCATAAGGCTGTCAATTTAGATATTTCTGAACGGGTTTGTTGCCTTGCATGGACGAATAGTAGTCGGCAGGGATACGCTAAGGGTAAATGGTAACATTAGCCGTTTCCTTATAAGAAAACATTCAGCATTCATTGTCCCATCATCTAGTACTGCTCTCATTTGAAAGTCTAAAACATCTAACCGATTTCTCTCCCAGCAACTACGAGGCTCGTTGGCAGGGAGAGAAAAGAGACAGAAGGTAACAACTATAACACTGTATCGAAAACCACGGCAACTTTAGCAACAAACATGTACCCCATCACACGGACTTAATTCACAAGATACCGTATCTTTCCGACTGCTGGTTTTACCATTGCATCTTTCAAAGACCTAGCTCTTGACCAGTTGCAGAGAGGCTCGTATCTAGACATGCTAAGTTATCCCGCTGCTAACGGCCAAATCCCGGATGTAGTCGGTGTTGACAAATATGTCCGTACCCGATCCGAGGCCTCTCTTGCGTCTGTACCGACGCGCATTCACCGCATTCATTTAAGTGAAGAGGTGAAAGGTCTTAAAACAGAAAGATAATAAAGATATTAAAGTTGCTAAGATCTACAGCAAGAAAAACTTCTGCCGTATAATGTCATAACTCATCTCTTAGAATACGCCAACGGCCATCCGTATAAAGGAGTAAGGGAGCCAATAAAAGACGCCACCGAATTCACGAATCAACGCACTAGGCTATCGTCGTGGTGACAGTAATTGCGGGTTCAATCCCAGAGGTAGTGTTTACTTGAAATCAATAGAAACAAATCGATTAATAAGTGAACAGTCTGAGAAAATAATTAAATTGTCTGGAATAAGCCAATCGGAATGGTATATTCCGTCAGAAAAATGCTAGCAACTATATCTCTTTGGAGAGACGTGTCATCGGAAGCGCATAATTTTAATGTTGGCGTCCCTCTGAGTTCTCTCCTGGGTCCTACCTTTTATTTCTCTATATTAAGAACATATACCGATTCTTAATGAATATCTCTGCAGCTGATGCAACATCTTATCGGTGCACCGCCGAAAGCCCGGAAGACTCGCAGCTCGACACTCCTGTAATCTAGACCACGTAGCTCAATCGGGAAGGGACTGGGTCATAAAATGCAATACAACCCAAACCAAACTGGTAACGTTCTACCATCATCCATCGTCAACCGTCCTGGGTATGACGGTAAAATACATCTGCGTCCTGGGTAAGACGATAAGCTACATCCGCGTCCTGGGTAAGACGATAAACTACATTCAACAGCAAGACCTCTAATCAGGAGGTTTTGAGGAGCGTGGAAACACTCCTTACTTGTTGATATTCCCAGGTTCACCCTGACCTGCGGTGGTAGTACCTGTTAGGGTCCCAGCTATGGGCAAATAGTTGAAACTTAAACTAGGGTCAAAACACTAAGAAAGTGTCAAAATATGTTTTAAAACATACCAGAAATAATTTGATTAAAAAAAATCATTACAGCATTACATTTTTAGAAAAAACGATATTACCAACTATAGTTCATTTTGAAAGAAAATATTACCAGCAATAAGAAATTTGGCTGCATTAAATAACCCATTGAGGTCGATATGCCCTAAAAAAAAACAAAAAAAAACAATCAACTGACCCGCGGTGTTAGCACCTGTTAGGGTCTCAAATATGGGTTAATAATTAGCGTCCAAACTGTGGTTAAAACACTATGTAAGTGTAAAAATATGTTTTAATACCAGAAACACCTTGTAAAAATAATTATTACTAGCAATTTATTTTT